CGGGCCCTGGGGAGCCCCCGGCTTGGCCCGGGGAAGAGGCGGAGGGCTGGGGGGCAGCGGGTGGCTGGCTCGAGCCGTGCCAGGTGCAGGGTCTGCGGGCTGGGTGCTGGCAGGCTTGCACCTGGCACGGGCACCATTGCCAGCCCATGCCCCTTTAAGGGCTCCGGGGCCGGGAGGGGGGCAGACGAGTTTCCCTGGTATTGGCCAGAGTGGCCACCAGGGAAAGCTGGGGAGGGCTAGTCTCCCATTAGTTCGAATTAAGTGTCCACACAGCCCTTAATTCAAACTGCTTAATTCGAACTAGGCGTTAGTCCTCGTAGAATGATGTTTACCTAGTTCGAATTGAGCGCTCCGCCGCTAGTTCGAATTAAGTTTGAACTAGCTGTTTGTATGTGTAGCGCCTATCAAAGTTAATTCGAACTAACGTCTGTTAGTTTGAATTAACTTTGTAGTGTAGACATACCCATGGTTTTGACATGAACACTTGAGTAAACCAGACAAAAATGTTCTGGTGTTGCCAAATTGGCATTTTAAAGGGACTACCTCCTCAGCCTACCATACTTTATTTTTTTCATTTGATCTTTTGTTCCTTGTTCTCTTTTTTGTTTTACTCAGTCTCATGTAAGGAAAACATGAACCCAGTTCATTTAAGTTAATGTCAGGTTTTAAAACCATAATAGTTTATTATACCAGGCCTATTTTATTGCAGATGGCTTCACCACTGTATGGCTTTTTGCTTTGTATAAATATGTATACCCACCTTGTCTGTTCCAACACCTGTTATTCTGTTTAAGAAGAAATAGAAAGTCCTATATTCTACATTCTAGAATGATCTAGAGTGTGTAATTTGGTAGAGAACACTTTGCCACGGACTTCAGTGGGATACTACATAGATATGAGGGTCTACCTTTGTGGAACTCATTGTAGGACTGGCACCTCATTTTGCAAACAGGAGATTACAAATGTTCTGAGTGTAAGTATTTCATAATTCACCCAACCCTGCTGGAGAAGGGAGTTTTGTGTGGAGAAAAGGGAAGGAACATCCAAAGATTCAAATTCTGATAAGCTTGGGGGGTGAACCGGCTAATGTGCTTTTCTATTAGAGCCTCTGAATCTTTTAAAATTCATAATTCTAAGCAATCTCTTTCTGAAGGATTTGTTATAAAACAATATATTCTTTCTGCTTTTGTTTACTCTTCATATCTTACCATAGGCTTTTGGAGCAGAGTGTCACTTAATTATTTTTCACAGAGAGCCCTGGACAAATATTTGTGCAGTGTAACTCGAGCTCCTTATTTGCCAGTATAAATTGTAAAGATGCTTCGCCCAATTTTATTTGCATACCTGAACAAAAATAACATGTGTTTGCACAAGCTACATGTAGCTACAGGCTACAGAGGATTGGGAATTCAGAATTCTTAACTAAAGTAAGGGTATGTCTGCCTGTGTCAGTGGTTCCCATTGGGGATGCTGCTGCAGTTGGCACCATGGAGCCAGAGCTCGCCCTGGGCATTCTGCTCCAGTTTTTGGACTTGCTGCTGCAAGCCTGCCAGCAATGGCTGGAGGCTGTCTGGCACCATCTGGTGCACGTCAGCCCCCTGCCTCTCCCCCTGGCCTTCCTGGGGGCCATGGAGGATTCGCAGCAGCCTCCGGACACCAGTGAGCCCCGCTGCATCTGGCATCTGGACACCAGCAGCGACTGGTGGGACCGCATCGTCCTGGAGTGCTGGGGAGACCAACAGTGGACCCAGAACTTCAGGATGAAGAAGGACACCTTCCTGGAGCTCTGCGAGTGGCTCACCCCAGCTCTGCAGTGACAGGACACTCGCATGAGGCCTGCCATCCCCCTCCAGAAGCACCAGTTCAGCATGGGGAAATCCACCGTTGGTTCAGTGCTCATGCAGGTACGGTACTCACTGGCCACTGGGCCAAGGGGAGAGGGGGGCTGCAAGGAGGGGATGGGCCGCCACAGGGAAAATGGGCGAGGGAGGAGGTGAAAGTGCCCCACACGGGAGGGTTCAGTCTGTCCTGGCTGTACTACACGCCACGCGCCACGGCCAGGATCTCAGTGGGGGTTGCTTCCAGGTGTGGGAATGAACACTCCCAGCCACCCGGGCGCCCCAGTGATTTGTGGTTGGTGTATCTCTTTGCAGGTGGTCAAGGCCATCAACCGGGTGCTGCTCCGCAGGGTGGTCCACTTCACCAACCCGGACATGGTCATCCAGGGGTTCGACACTATCGGCTTCCCCAGCTGTGGTGTGGCCATCGACGGGACGCACATCCCCATCCGTGCCCCGGAACATCAGGCCTCCCTCTACATTAACCAGGGGTACTGCAGCATCCCTGATAGACCATGGATGTTGCTGGACTAGAGTCTCGGTTTAGAGAGTTTCAATCTGTATGAAAAAATTTGTAATGGCTAAAGACTGCTACTGCCATATGATTTCTTACTGGCTTATAGGAAATGAATGTGCTGGTCTCAGTCTAGTTGCTAATGGACAGTTGTTCTTTTAAAAATTGCACCCTTACATTGACACTTGCTAACATTTCTGTTGACAGTCTCAGTGGAGTCCCCAGGTCAAAATGGGAATATTTTTATTCATTATTTGTATTTGTAGTAGTGCCTGGGAGACTCAATCATTGACCAGAACTCCATTGTGCTAGATGATGTATAAAGCCACAGAGCAAAAAA